AGCACGCCACCCTCCTCAGACTACCCTCAAGCCCTGTCTCCACCTCTCCCACCCCTGACCCCATACGTCCCCTCCCAAGTCAACTGAAATTACTTCTAAAATTTGCCTGCAGCTTTCTGCTTTCTCCTCTTGATTTTTTATAGTTAGGCAATTAAAAAAATTAGTTTACGTCAGTATTGTTTCTCTTGTATCTGAAATTGGTAATTATAATCAGCAACATCTTGAGACTTGGATGATATTAGGTGAAAACTCTTTGTAAATTTGAAAAGCTATGTAAAATGTAAGGTTGAGATTTTACTTGTCCTGTCCATTTAAAGATGGACTGCCGACTTACATATTATGGTGACCATGTCATTGTAACTTCATCACAAGGAAAAGACTTGTGTTATGCCTCCTTAATGAAATATCTGTGAAGGTGGCTCAGAAGTGTGAAGAATCTTTGTGCTTCAGAATTAGAAGGGACCTTAGAGATGAATTTGAATATCTCTTTTTACCAATAAAAAGAAGCTGAAGTCTAAGACTGAAGCTGAAGTCCAGGACTGAACATTAGTGTGACTGAGTGGGAGTCTCACCTGGGATTCAAGTCTGGATCAGCTGACAGTCCATTTGCTAATGTTACTTCATATCCCATACTTTATCACAGTGGCTGTGATAAAAAAGAATATATATTTTTCAGTTAGTAATACAGAAGAAAAAGTAGTGCTGAGTATTTCAAGTAAAATTTTTTTGACCTGCAAAAATTGTTGTGGAGATAGGTGGGTGAAGAACTGTAACCCTTGGCATGGGAAGGGCAGTGGGGCACCTAGCTTTAAGAATAACTAATATAAGCCGAGTGCATTTTATTTCACTGGGCAAGTCAGGGGAATGGTTGTGCTTTGACTGGGCCTGAATGTTGGGTTTTGGGGTTCCCCACAATTTTCAGAGTATGGAGTGCTTTATTAGAGTGGATCCCTGTAGTATCTTTTACTCTTGGTTAGAGCATCGTTTTAACAGGTGTTTCTCTTCTGTGAGAGTCTGTGCTTTGAACAGTGCTTCTCTTCCAAACCTTAGCACAAGTGTGCTCTGTGGACCAGCATCAGCATCCTCTGGGAACGTCTTAGGAATGCAGAGTCTCAGGCCCCACCCCAGACCTGCTTGATCTGTGTTTTAACAAGACTCCCAGGCAGTTCATATATACAGTAAAGCATGGGAAACACTGGTCTAGAGCAGTGGTTCACAAAATGTGGTCCCTGGACCAGCAGCATCAACATCGCGGGCAAAGTTGCTAGAAAACACACATTCTCAGGCCCCAAATCCCAGGCCCCCTGAACCAGAAACTCTGGGTGAAACCCCAATATGTGCTTTAACAAGCCCTGTAGGTAATGCTAATTCATGCTTAAGTTTGAGAACCACTCTGGAGCACTGTGTTTCCACAGTTTTGATCTGGACTCACGGTGAAAAATATATTTTACATCATGACCCAAAACACACACACACACACACACACACATACTCTAGAAGTTTCATAAAACAATGGTTATCTTACCAAGTTCTATATCTACTTTGGTATTTTCCATTTTATTCTGTTAAATATATATGTGTGTGTATAAACTTATTTATAAAGAAAATCTGGCCATAACCCACACAGCTGCTTACAAAGCCACTAATAGACCATGCACTGCAGTTTAAGGACTGATGCTCTTGAACAGGGTCTCTTAACCTTCTTCTGTGCTGTGGCCCCTTTTGACAGTCTTGTAAAGCTCTGGATCTCTTGTCAGAGTAATGCTTTTTAAGTGTATACAGTAATATACATGGAGCTGTAAAAGAAACCAATTATATAGGGTACCAATATATTAAACAAATGTGTGATATGGTGATATATTGTATTTTCTTATTCATAGTGAGATTTAGTGGTGGGTCTTGTAACTACTGTCATTTCAAAGTAGGAATGGGTATAAATGATAGTTCAAGTTATTTGCAATAATTGTTATATGAAGTGAAAATGGCTGTGATTTCAATTGGTGACAAAGTTACGGTTACTGATAATAATACTGTGGTTTGTTGAGTACATGCATATTTGAAAAAAAAAAAGCTACATTTCAGTTTAAGTTAAGTGAAAATAAAGATGTAATTTTTTTCCCTAACTTCAGACTTGCAAAATTCTGAGGTTAAGCACTCTTGCTCAAGAGGAACCTTTCTTTGGAGAATAGTTCCCAGGCTTTAAGACTGTGTGTCAAAAAATTACCTTCCTGGAATTCCTTAAAATTGCTGCTTCATCGATGGCATTTCTTATTTTCTAGCACCATGGTAATGGAGTTCTGTTTTGTTTTTTTCCTCACCAACAGGGTAGGAGGTTTCCCTTTTCTCCACATCCTCACCACCATTTATTTTTTGTGTTCTTTTTGATGTTAGCCATTCTGACAGGGGTGAGGTGATAGCTCATTGTGGTTTTGATTTGCATTTCCCTGATGCAGAAATCAGCATTTTAAAATTTAATTTAATTTTTATTTTACTTTGGAGTATAGTTGATTTATAATGTTTAGTTTCAGATGTACAGCAAAGTGATTCAGTTATACATATACACGTATCCATTCTTTTTCTTTTTTTGTTTTTGGCCACGCTGTGCAGCTTGTAGGATCTTAGTTCCCTGACCAGGGATTGAACCCCAGCCCTCAGCAGTGAGAGTGCAGAGTCCTAATGACCGCCGGGGAATTCCCCATATATCCATTCTTTTTAGACTCTTTTCCCAAGTAATGGAGTTTTCCTTTAAAATCTTCTTCTCTATTGTTTTCCTGAGGTTACCTCAGGCCCAAATGCAATCTATTGACAATGTTTCTTCTCTAGTCTCCCCCATCTCAACACACCACCCAGCTGCTCAAACCAGATTCCTGGGATCATTCTCTGGGCCATGGGTTCTGGATTCAGGATCTGAATCTGGGGTCCACGGTTTACTAGCTGTGTCACCTTGGACAAGCGACAAGCCTCCCTTTCTCTGCCTGTGAGACTGGGATGGCAGCAGTGCCCCCACCTCATAGGACTGTTCTGAGTATTGCATGAGACATCCCAGGTATTGCACTGGAACAGCCTGGCCTGGAGTTAAGTGGTTAGTAAATGTTATCCATTACAGTTATGCTTGATTTCTTCCTTTCCCTTATTCCTTAAACCCAGTTTGTCAGAAAATTTATATAGAGTTTCCCTACAGGTATATTTCATATTTATCTCCTTCTGTCTGTTTCCATTGCCGTCATCCTACTCGAAACTTTCATGCATTCTCATTGGCACTTCTGACTGGTGTCTCTCCTTCCTCTTGACTGACTCCAATCAGTTTCCCCTATAACAACCGTATGATTTTTTTTAAAGTGTAAGTGAATGATCTAATAAAAACGTTAGTGACCACCGTACATTTAGAACAGTCCAGTGGCTTCCCGTCAAGCCTTTCCCTGACCTGCAGCCTGTGTTTTTGGCCCCTGCGTCCTTTCAAGTGTTTGTTCGTGCTGTGCTGTTTCTCTGGTCTGCCTCTGAACTTGCCCGTGTACCCACTGTTCTGTGGCCACATTGGCTTTCCCTCAGTTATTTGGGTAGCCTGGTCCTTTCATACTTTGAGGCCATTGTGTGTGACCCTCCCTCTGTTCAGCTGCATGTTTCTGCCCTTCCTCAGCTCCCATCCTTCTCATCTCTGTGGGAGAGAGCCTTTCTTAACCACCCCTACCTAAATTAGGGCACCAAATTCCTCCTTTATCAGTCTGAGGCTCCCTAAACACATCAACAAGTGAATATTGCCTCTCCATCAGGGAAAAGGATAATTAACAGCCTGTGATTATGAAACATGCAACTCCAAGAGGAGTGGAATAATTTTACACATTGTGAACATTAAGTGATTGTAGAGCTATTTTAAGAAATTGCAATCCTGAAATTGTTCAAGAAGGTCTTTGATATTGTTATTCAAGAACAAAGAGAGGCCGGCCCACTGAACCTGTCTGCAGAGGGTAATGGAGGTACTCATAACCCAGCCATGCGCCTCCTCACTGCTGTCAGTCATTTCTGCTCCAAAGGGTAAAGCAGATGTCATAAAATTTCCCTCCTTGAAGTAGCTGCCTGGTTGCTGATAGAACCCTTCATGCTCCTCCCTCCTAAAGTGAATGGTCAGTTGCTGCTCAGACATGAGAAAGATGCCTCATGATTAGACGATAGAAACCAGTGTGGTAATATCTGGATCCTGGTTTTAATTTTTGAGTTCGGAGTGAAGAGGCAGCATAATGACTCCCTGATTGGACTCGGTCAAATTTCTTTGTGTTTTGAAATTTCTGCCTTGTTACTTATTTTTAATTAATCCTAGGCCAGAGAAAGGAGGCACTCCTGATTTTTGGCAGTTGCCTAAAGCAGCCAGGAAAAGGGTGATAGGAGTTGAGAATCATGTTGTGAACCACTTCAGTGACCTTTGTAGTTTTTCTTTCAAATAAGTGTCCCAAAGGACACTGGGACAGATGCTTGAATTTAGGATAATAAGTATAAACGCCTGGTACTCCTGTTTGGCTAAATGGTGTTCCTGATTAAATAAAAATGTGGTCTCTTTTGGGGAAAGACTACCTTTTGTTTACATACTTTAGCAGAACCCATGCACAGAAGTATTCCTGGTATGGACTGTGGGTAATGATAATCATTTGGAAAATGATGTGTCTAAAAATAAAATACAGTTTTCTTATTGCAAAAAAGTAACATATACTTAATTTTTAGAAATTCTACCATAATTCTGCCCTCCAGTCAAGCCAACCTTTTCATATTTTTCTTGTTCCCCTATAGATGTTTATATGTTTATCTTTCTATATAGTTGTAATCTTGCTGTGATCATCTTGTATTCTGATTTATGTTATGTTATGATTTTCATGTTTCATTTTTAATGGCTGTATAGCATTCTATCAAGTAGAAATGTCATAACCATTCTATTGTTGGTTGATTTGCTTTATGATGTATTTTTTATGATATACTTTTAATGATGTCTTTGTTTTGCTCTAATTTTGCAGGCAGAGACATTTGTTTGGGTTAACAGTGCATCAGCACATTCCCAGAGTGTTGCCAAGGCCAAATATGAATTTTTATTTGGCAGATCTGAAGAGAAAACTCCAGATACTAGTAAGTGTATCCCTACCTTCCTCTTTCAGGTAACAGATAGGAAGTGCTATTGAAATTTCAAATCTCAGAAGCTGAGAATTCTTCAAATCAAGAAGTGACTTGAAATTACCTAAAACAGGCTACTAGAATCACATCCTGTATTTCTGAGTTCTACACCTTAGGAAGATGTAGAATTATTAGTGAATAATTAAAGCAACAGGTTTCACAGAGGTAGGAAGGCAGCAGTGCGGATGGAGAAAAGGTACTCAATCAGCAGGAGATAAAGGCCATAGGAGTCCTGGGAGTCAGGCAGAGAAGGGTACTGAATGTGGTTAAGAGCTTTGGCTCTTTAGCTAGGCTTCTTGAGCGTCAGTTCTGGCTTTGTAACTTATGAGATGCATGACCTTGAGTAAGTTGTCCAAGCTATTTTTGCCTCAGTTTTCTCATCTGTAAAATGGGATTATAGTGATATATGTGTCAGAAATCTTTTGAGGATTAGGTAGATTGACATATGTAAGGATCTCAAAACCATACTTGGCATGTAATAAATGATATGGAAGTGTTTGCTGCCATTATTATTTATTATGATCATTATCATCATCATATTCCTGACCTTTGAAGCTGACATTTAGAAAAAATACAATCCTGACTCTCCTCAACTCCATCACTGTCTGACACTGATTTTCTGTTTTGGGTAGACAAGGAATCTGACCTAATGTATTGGTAGCTGTTGTTCAGTTGAAGAAGTCAAATGCTAACTATTCATTTTGATTTATGTGTTAGATGGGATTATATAATGGGCTCCCTAATACCTGGGGCTAGCAAGAATGCAGTGTATATCAATAATTCCTTTTACCTTAATAATGAATATTTATTAGATATTTCAGTAGTTGGGGACTCTTAATGAAGTATAAAACAGCTAAATTATTTTAAAAAAATCATTCTGCTTTTATTATGTAGCATAAATACCTAACATTCTAGGCTAGAGGTTTGGGGCACTTAATCATTTATTCACTTTGTCTCAGGGAGTACTGACTGTCATCACCCCAAGACTGTGTAAAACTCCTCCTTGGCATAGCCTTAACTTTGTGATTTTGTGCTAATTAAGCTGTTTTTAACTTCGATAAAACATGATTTTTACTTCACTATATAGAGATACTATCAAATGTCTACATAGTCCTTTGACTTATTGGTGGGTGAGTTTGGGTCTACCTCACTCATAGGTTTTATAGTTTTCCGAGTGTACCTGAGGAGAATCAAAATGACATTTTAAACCTCCTGTTCCTTATTTGCCTTGGTAAAAATGGTTGGTGTTATTTATTTCTAGTGTGATGTTATTCTGCAGGTGTGTAAGTGTGCATGCATTTATTAAATCTATTTAATGAACACTTATTATGTGCTAGTCACCTGTGCTGGGCCCTGTCATGGTACAAAGAAGCAGAAGACAGTCCTTACCACATGGGGGCTAATTCTTTGGTCAGAGAGAGGGAATGATCATTTTCAGCTGTGCTGGTGATGGCTTCATGGAGGAGGTGAAAGTTGCACTGTTCTTAAAGAATGACTAGTATTCTGATTAATTGAGTTTTGGGGAGGGCATTTCAGACTGAGGGAAGGGTATGACCAAGGGTGTGGTGGCAGAAAATACAAATTTTTTGGAGAACATGGAGGAAACTGCCCAGGTTGGTTTGCAAAGCATATCTGTGAGAGATAGGTTTAGAAAGATAACCATTTAGAAAGGGGCAGAATCATGGAGGGTGAAGAGTGTGCATTTTAATTTAGGTATGCGGAGATGAAGTGCCAGGTACTGTTTTTTTTTTTTTTAATCTATTTTTTATTTTTATTTATTTTTTTGGGTATAGTTGCTTTACAATGTCGTGTTAGTTTCTACTGTAAAACGAAGTGAATCAGCTATATGTGTATATATATCCTCTCCCTCTTGGACCTCCCTCCACACCCCCTAATCCCACCCATCTAGGTCACCACAGAGCACTAAGTGGAGCTCCCTACGCCATACAGCAGGTTCCCACTAGCTATCTGTTTTACATATGCTAGTGTATACATGTCTCCCAATCTCCCAATTCATCCCACCCCCCCCTTCCCCCCCCCCCTGCCCCCCCCCGCCCCCCGGCCTGTGTCCACACATTTGTTCGCTATGTCTGTGTCTCTATTCCTGCTCTGCAGATAGGTTCATCTGTACCATTTTTCTAGATTCCACATATATGTGTTAATATACAATAATTGTTTTTCTCTTTATGACTTACTTCACTCTGTATGACAGTCTCTGGGTCCATCCACGTCTCTGCAAATGACTCAGTTTCATTCCTTTTTATGACTGAGTAATATTCCATTGTACATATGTACCATATCTTCTTTATCCATTCCTCTGTTGATGGACATTTAGGTTGTTTCCATGTCCTGGCTATTGTAAATAGTGCTGCAATGAACATTGGGGTGCATGTGTCTTTTTGAATTATGGTTTTCTTAGGGTATATGCCCAGTAGTGGGATTGCTGGGTCATATGGTAATTCTATTTTTAGTTTTTTAAGGAACCTCCATACTGTTCTCCATAGTGGCTGTATCAATTTACATTCCCACCAACAGTGCAAGAGAGTTCCCTTTCTGCACACCCCCTCCAGCATTTATTCTTTGTAGATTTTTTTTTTTTGCGGTATGCGGGCCTCTCACCGTTGTGGCCTCTCCCGTTGTGGAGCACAGGCTCTGGACGCGCAGGCTCAGTGGCCATGGCTCATGGGCCCAGCCACTCCGCGGCATGTGGGATCTTCCCGGACCGGGGCACGAACCCATGTCCCCTGCATCAGCAGGCGGACTCTCAACCACTGCGCCACCAGGGCAGCCCCTCTTTGTAGATTTTTTGATGATGGTCATTCTGACCAGTGTGAGGTGATACCTCATTGTAGTTTTGATCTGCATTTCTCTAATAAGTGCTAATAATAATTGCTAATAATTAACAATGTTGAGCATCTTTTCATGTGCCTCTTGGCCATCTGTATGTCTTCTTTGAGACATGTCTCTTTAGGTCTTCTGCCCGTTTTTTGATTGGGTTGTTTGTTTTTTTGATATTGAGCTGCATGAGCTGTTGGTATATTTTGGAGATTAATCCCTTGTCAGTTGCTTTGTTTGCAAATATTTTCTCCCATTCTGAGGGTTGTGTTTTCATCTCGTTTATGGTTTTCTTTGCTGTACAAAAGCTTTTAAGTTTAATTAGGTCCCATTTGTTTATTTTTGTTTTTATTTTCATTACTGTAGGAGGTGGGTCGAAAGAGATCCTGCTGTGATTTATGTCAAAGAGTGTTCTGCCTATGTTTTTCTTGAAGAGTTTTATAGTGTCTGGTCTTACATTTAGGTCTTTAATCCATTTTGAGTTTATTTTTGTGTATGGTGTTAGGAAGTGTTCTAATTTCATTCTTTTACATGTAGCTGTCCAGCTTTCCCAGCACCACTTATTGAAGAGGCTGTCTTTTCTCCATTGTATATTCTTGCCTCCTTTGACATAGATTAGTTAACCATATGTGCGTGGGTTTATCTCTGGGCTTTCTATCCTGTACCATTGATCTATATTTCTGTTTTTTGTGCCAGTACTGTCTTGATTACTGTAGCTTTGTAGTATAGTCTGAAGTCAGGGAGCCTGATTTCTCTAACTCTGTTTTTCTTTCTCAAGATTGCTTGGCTATTTGGAGTCTTTTGTGTTTCCACACAAATTGTAAAAGTTTTTGTTCTAATTCTATGAAAAATGCCATTGGTAATTTGATAGGGATTGCATTGAATCTGTAGATTGCTTTGGGTAGTAGAGTCATTTTCACAATATTGATTCTTCCAATCCAAGAACATGGTATATCTCTCCATCTGTTTGTATCACCTTTAACTTCTTTCATCAGTGTCTTAGAGTTTTCTGCATACAGGTCTTTTGTCTCCCTAGGTAGGTTTATTCCTGGGTATTTTATTCTTTTTGTTGCCATGGTAAATGGGATTGTTTCCTTACTGATTTTTTTGTTGTTAGCGTATAGGACTGCAAGAGATTTTTGTGCATTAATTTTGTATCCTTCAAGTTTACCAAATTGATTAGCTTTAGTAGTTTTCTGGTGGCATCTTCAGTATTTTTGCTGTATAGTATCATGTCATCTGCAAACTGAGAGTTTTACTTCTTCTTTTCCAATTTGTATTCCTTTTGTTTCTTTTTCTTCTCTGCTGTGGCTAGGACTTCCAAAACTATGTTAAATAATAGTGGCAAGAGTGGACATCCTTGTCTTCTTCCTGATCTTAGAGGAAATGCTCTCAGTTTTTCCCCATTGAGAATGATGTTTGCTATGGGTTTGTCGTATATGGCCTTTATTACGTTGAAGTAGGTTCTCTCTGTGCCCACTTCCTGGAGAGTTTTTATCATAAATGGGTGTTGAATTTTGTCTAAAAGCTTTTTTCTGCATCTATTGAGATGATCATGTGGTTTTTTTCTTTAATTTGTTAATATGATGTATCACATCGATTGATTTGCTTATATTGAAGAATCCTTGTAATCCTTGCATTCCTAGGATAAATCCCACTCGATTGTGGTGTATGATCCTTTAATGTGTTGTTGGATTCTGTTTGCTAGTAATTTTTTGAGGATTTTGGCGTCTATGTTTATCAGTGATATTGGCCTGTAATTTTTGTTTTTTGTGATATCTTTGTCTGGTTTTGGTAGCAGGGTGATGGTGGTCTCCTAGAATAAGTTTAGGAGTGTTCCTCCCTCTGCAAATTTTGGGAAGAATTTGAGAAGGATCGGTGTTACCGCTTCTCTAAATGTTTGATAGAATTCACCTGTGAAGCCACCTGGTCCTGGACTTTTGTTTCTTGGAAGATTTTAAATTACAGTTTCAATTTCATTACTTGTGATTGGTCTGTTTATATTTTCTACTTCTTCCTGGTTCAGTCTTAGAAGTTGTACCTGTCAAAGAATTTGTTCATTTCTTCCAGGTTGTCCATTTTATTGGCATATAGTTGTTTGTAATAGTCTCTTATGATCC